GCGGGAGAAAGATGAGGCTTTCTACTCCCGTAAGGATTACACCCTTGGAAACCCTGTACAGGGTCGCTATGGGTCGGCTCCGACTCGAAGGCACTTAACAACAACAACAAACTTATCCTACAGAGCCACACCAGGACAAAACTTTAAGAGACAAATCTACTGGGGCAAAGGAGAATGCTAATTCCTGGGAGGAGTCTTAATTAGAGTCCTGAAAAACCACACCTGCCTGACATCCTAGATTAAATTCAGTCTGCTCCTACTGGTGGCCTTTCAAGAATCCATCTTGAAGAAATGCTGCAAAAGTGCCCAATTAGCATGGCCTCGACTAAACTGGCCATTTCCTGGAAATCCCTGTCTATGAATAAACATGATGTATTTTCCCGCCCCAAAACCTTTTAAACACCAGCAAATCCTTTTTTTCTGTAATAAACTTTTGCGTGTATGGAAACTCTGCCTCACCTTAATACTGTTAATCAGTAGACGACACGAACCCTCTCTTGTAGAAAGGAGATGCAGCTAGTACTCCTTGTAACATTTAAAATGCTGCATGAAGTCTCTTTTAGGAGACTACAGAGCCTGTAGAATTTACCAGAATTTTGCATAAAAGGATACTCTTCTTGAATTGCTCTTTGGTTATGCTTTTCTGTATCAGTAAATCTTAGACTGAAGATTTCTTCTCAATCTGTAGGAAATTAGACTTCGTATTTGAACTAGAACTAGGAAATCGGGGCAAAGAACAGAAAATGAAAGCAGAGAAAATTAAGGAAAACAAGTTATGAGATTCTATCAAAATTCTGATTACATTGGAAACCAACCATTCAAGTCTCAAAATTGAGAATGATGAATTTTTTTGTTTCTTTTAGAAGAGACAAAAGAAAACAAAAAATAAGAAAGTGTAGAGTTAGGGTTTAGTTACCTATTGTTCTTAAGTGCCAGGGAGTTGATTCCAATGCACAGTGACTCTGTATTGGGTTTCTGAGGAGTGGCTGGTGGGTTTGAACTGCTGACCTTGTGGTTAGCAGTCCAGTGCTTATCTTGTAGCACCATACGAGAACTCTGCTTCTATCCCCTGTTATTGTTAAGTGTCAATGAACTGGTTCCGGTTCATGTTTCCTGTATATAGTACCTGAGGAGCAGCTGGTGGGTTTGGAACACCAACCTTGCAGTTAGTAGTCCAGTGCATATTATCCTACAGTGCCATTACAGGGGCCCTACAAAAGTCTCCTTCATCACAAAGCTACAGTGAGACAAGACAGAAAGCAAGTTTTCAAAGTTTCTCACTAGTAGGGCTGAAAGAGAGTTGGCCCTCCATCTACCAGAAAACAATGAATTCAGTTCTCTCATTCCCCCAAGCATTCTACACAGGATTCTCTTTCATTTAAAGTATAAATTCTCTATCACAGTGGGGAGAAAATAAAGGTCTGTCTTACAATTTTAACATTTGTATCTGTTTATTTTTCTTTGAATGAACATTTCTATCCATCATTAGCTCTAAAAAAAACCGTAACATTCATAGAATTGAAAGGAAACAACAAAAGAATAATAACTTCTTCCATGTTGGAACTTGTGATTGGTAACTTTTATGGAGGTGAATATTGGGGTATCAAAATGGCAGAAGAGAGCATGGAAGAGGCATTCATCCAAGATGACACATTTTAATAATTATTAATCATAGTACTTAGCACTTGCAAAAAGCTGCAAAATGCTCCTGAGGTGAAATGATTCATCACTTCTAGACTCTAAAACATTCTGTAAATATCAACTAATTACACTTGGCTTTTGTCTCTTTACTCGTTCTATGAGGATGGTTTTTGGACTCTCAGCAAATCGATTCTCTAATGCTTAATGAGCAATGAATAATTGGAAAAGAGAGTCACCTCAAACCTAGAATGGAAATTTTATATGTATCTGCTTTCACTGCCTGCCATTGTCGCTGTCCTCATCTTTTCTTGAAACAGAATCATTTGGGGGCGGGGGAATCAGAGGTACCAAAGTTCGCAAAGGTCCTAGTCTTTGACCAAGACTATCTCTGTGACACTTTTTGCATAATCCTGATAAAATACATTGCTTTTGGCATTGAAATCAACTGGTTACTAGTCTACCTAAATGCTATTCTATATAAATATTAGCCAGGGGAGCAATCTGGAACATATTAGAGCAATGAACAAATTACAGAAAATTTGCTAAAGAAATGACAGTATGCCAAGGCAATGGCCCAACAGAGTGGTCACAGGCATCACATAGGGTAGCATAGGTAAAAGTATTATAAATGACAAAGCATGTTGGGTATTAAGGTCACTATTATTGTTATGATTAACAACTGATACATTGTGAGGAAAGTAAACCCCAAGAAGGCAGAATCTCTGGTCAGATTTAATACAAGAAGTCATCTCCCCTCTCTACATATAACAGTTGGCACTTGGCACTGACAATATTATGTATGGAGAGACACATCTTGGGCTTATAAAATAGAAATTTGAATATACAAATATACATTATGAAATATGATAGTATACAAATTGATGCTAAAATATGCTCTGCTTTCCCAATTTTAAAAAGCACAAAATTTTGTGTTGTTGGATGTTGAAGCAGAATTAGTAAACCCTTTTGGCTATGTTTTCAGAATGCATTCACAGTACATGATACTACAGTGTTGAAGTTGATATCTCACATATTAAATACCCTTATGAAATATTTAGAACCCAACAAAAACTAACTAAACATCTTAATTATATTATTTGGAGTAGTAAGAATGGAATGTGTAGAGTGGACATTCATCAAGCTTTGCCTATTGGCCCATTATGAATTAAGTGTCTGACTAGTCAAGTAATCATGATGGGTAAGATATCCCTGGTATCCCCATTGTTAACTAGATAAAAGAATTGAGACTTTAGATGTAAGAAGTACTGTATGAAGATGGTATGTCAAGAAGAGATACCTTCCCTTTTGCAAGGCTAACTAGTAACTGTAGTAAGATACTTATACCCAGATACTATTTCTTGAGTCAGTGTTTGACAATCAACCATTATTCAAGGTGGTGGAGCTGTTCAAGTTGAAGAGACAAGTCAATAACCTTGCCTCATGTGGCCAGTTCCCATGACTTTTGGGAGTTACCCACAGTTCAAGATTCTGGGCAGCCATCTTTAAGGATAATATTCCCATTTCTTAGGTCACAGCTGTCATTTCACTGGCCTTCATTTCGATTCCAGTTAGGTTATAAAGTGCAGTATGTAGTGTTGAGCCTTCAGAAAGAACATAATAAACACAACCACCCTCTGCAGAATCCAAGTTTAAATTATTGGCAGAGTAATAACCATCCAGATCTGAGAATGTACAGGAACTTGATCATCATTGTTATGGTCCTTATCATCGTCCTCCTTTTCATCAGCATTATCATCATCATTAGCATCATCAGTCTCATAGTTGCAGTATTATTGTCACATCAAATGGTGTGGCAAGATAAAAACAAAAACAGCATCAAGACACTGTCCAGTTTGGGTGTGTAAATATTATCCTGTGTTTCTTGGCCCACTTAGCAAATACTTTCTTTTCAGTGATAAACCTATGTCCCCCATATGGGGCATGTTCATGAAGAAAATATTCATCACATTCATCTCTTCCTTGTTCGTAATAATGGTACGGGACTTTTCTATACCCTTCTGTCCTAAAAAAGAAAAAAAAAAAAAAAAAGGCGAGAGAAAGATGGAGATGAAGAATGAAGCATTCATTTACAAGAATCCATTATATGCCCAGTAAATGCATTTACTTGCAAACCCATACATGATTCTTGTCCATGAACTCAGTTAAAAGCTATTAATGTATGAAAGCTTTTAGGAAGATGTACCAGGCCCTCTGTGCTTTAATAGATCAAATAAAATTTATATGTCATACCAATTTTATTCCAACATATGGATATCCTTTGAAGAAGGAAATGGTGTCTAATGGTAGCAAACTCTGCATAGGCTAGTGGTTTTACAGAGTTTGAAAAACTTTATGATTTTTTTTTTTTGACAGTAAGGTATTTGGTTCATCTGTTTACGTTATGCTTATAGTTAGGGTAGAAATATTTGATCATCATTTAAAGATTGTGGCTGAGAATTACCATTTTGACAATATGATTAAAATACTGTCTGGATTAGGTTGTGGGAAAATATATTCCATTATCTTGATGAAGCGTGTAGGACTTGTTTTATCATCTAATTAAAAACTATCCTACCAGTGAAGATATACTGTAGATAAACACACACTTTAAAAATAAGGACCTGGCATGTTACTCATTTATTAGTGAAACACAATTTCCAGGAATTCTGACTAACCCGTCAATTTCTCTCAGGTTTCTGGACATTTTGTCCTTCATGATCAAATATAAACATTGAGTAGACAGACAGCCATCAAGTCATTAAAGGTGCAGAAATGACAAATTGTTTTACAAATTAAATAGCCACTAAACTTGTTCTCTCTTTCCAAGTCACAAGTCCTGATACGCCACTGATTAAAGAAAAAATGTTCTTTGTGACATCTGACATTAGACTGTGGTAAATATTTCTCTTTTTATCACCCCTAAAAGTCACAACTTGATGCACTGACAATAAAATGTCATTTTGGCAAAGAACACCGGGAAATAATTGTTGCTTTATCTGTTTCTCAGATTTATGGTGTTAAAATGAATTGTGATATTTTGACAAGATCTCAGAATTGGAGATGCATAAAAATAATTTCCTGTGATCTTACTTGCAGTAGGTGTCATTTATCATGCCGTAGACGTGAATGCCGTAACAGGCATCCATGGCCAGAATGAAGGTAAACCACCCCGTGCTGAGATAAGAGCCAGACTGGACTCTGTGGGAGAAGGAGGGGGGAGCACAAACAAACAACAATGACAAACAAAACAACATAGACAACACACACAGAGCAACAACAAAGTGTGGTGAGAAATGAGCATCATTTTATAAAAAATGTAGCACTTGTTATCAGGATAAAAAGCATGAAGAAAACTTGACAATCTGTCAAAGACACACACTTATTTTGAATTATCTCTGAATAATTTATAGGCATGCTTTCACTCTTGCTACCTTAAGCCTTGAAGCTATGTTGTATGGAAGAGAAACCATATGGCAAATATCTGAAGTCAAATAATCCTGCTCCCTTCAGGTGAAAAATAATTTATTTGATTTTGCATAAGACACAAATTCATCTTGAATATCAGAGGACAGGTGGGTTTTTTTTTGTTTGTTTGTTTTTTTGCTGTTGTTGTTGTTTCTTAAAGATGCTTGGAGCCCTGATAGAAACTGAATGGTAATGGTTTTATCTTGCTTACCTGGACATATCATTTTCTCTAAGAGTTGTTGGATTCTTAAGTCTAAATTGGATGCTATGTAGGTGAATGATTTGACCTACGAATGTATCTGAAAGATTTTCCCTTGCTAATATTCAGCTATCATGATCCAAGATTTTTCCTTTGCAAGACCTGTGTTACCCAACTCTTCAACAATTTTTTACTGAACATCTACTACATGCCAATGATTGTTCTAGACACTGTGGATGCAGTACCTATCAAAACATAAAAAGCCTCTATCTTCATGAAGAGCAGAATATTGCATTTGGTGGCTGTGTTGTCAAGGTTGGTCAAAGATGCTGACCTTGTTAAAGTGAACATAGACCTGAGTGTAGGGGGCAATAAAGGAGGGAAGAAGCTATGTGGATCTTAAGAGGGAAAAGCATTTCAGGCAGAGAAAGTGACAAGGGAAAACACAAATATGGAAGTGCGCTTGATATGTTCAAGGAATAGCTGAGAAGAGCAAATGAGGACCATTGACTGGAGGAATTTTCCAGTTTCCAAAGACTTCATGGAATTGTCTGGAGAAGATTTGGATCTCTATAGCTGTCTTTAGCCAGGGTGATCCAATCCACTCAAAACAGATGGTTGTCTATCTCTTTAAAACTCTTTCCATCAGAGCATTTGAAGCATGCTGGCAATTGTGCAAGAAAAAAAAAAAGTGATATAAAAAGATTAAGTCACCTACCTTCCGGCTAGCCATTCTGGCATACTGGTGTGGCACTGCTGGTTAATGCTCTGGACTTCAAGGTCGGTTTAAACTGCAAGGTCAGTGGTTCAAACTTACCAGCCACTCCTTGGAAGTCCTAGACAGGGTCGCTATGAGTTGGAACCAACTCAAAAACTCTTAATAACAACAGAACATGACCAGCTCTTTTTATAAAACCACACTCAGTCACTGATCACCATAACTAATAAGGGAATTTTATCACATTTCTGATAGCTGGTGATTTTTAGACCTAACCTGATTTATCTTGTGTCTGGAAAGACAGACACATGCTAATTAGTGCAACCATTCTTCAAGTGAGCTGTGTTGCATTTAATTCAGACTGGGGAAGTTCATACTGCTTATGTGTCCTGTCCTACAAACAGCACTTAATTAGACAGTTGCATTTTCTCTCCCTGATGCTTCAGATATATTCTGGATGAGAAATCACATGAGGTTTCCTACCCTTAGTACATGCCGGGGCCAGCAAAGTGATCTCCTTTCAAAACACTCAAGAGTTAATGTCCATATAATGATACTTGCAGTGAAATCATCGACATTGTTGGATTGACCCAGAAATTCTTCTAAACACATGCCCTGGTGATTTGGATCTCCAAGAGAGCTTCACTGGCCTGGATAGCACTGATCTGAGAATACTTGTAATTGCATCATTTCTAAACTCTCCCATGCTGCTTTGTGGACACAGTGGAAAGAAGGAAGAATAAATTATACCCAAGTAGACTTTACAGGTTCAAAAGATCAACAGCAACAAAAAGAGTTAAACATGAAATTGTTTATGCTTTTCAGCTTAGAGAGCTCTAACAATATCAAATGCCTTAAAATTTTTTAAAGGGTCTCCTCTGGGACCAAACATTGTCTTGTCATTTGTCACTCATGCACGAAGCACTAACTACGTTACCAGCTGGCCACCAGCCATAGCACTTTTTATACCTTCCACATTTGGGGATCGATAAAAACAATTATTGTCATCTACAAATAAACAATCAAGGTTCCCATAGGGATGATAAGAGAATTTAAGCTCCTAATTCAGTTCAATAGGAAAGCTTAAATTAATGCGGCAGAATAATGAGCCATGCAGAGGAAAATAAAGGCAGGAGTGTTAGAGGAAGCTATCAATCATTTGTTTCCACTGGCCAAGTTTTGCATCCCACTGCTCCTTGGTAATCAAGATACTTACAACTTGGAAACTATTTAAATCTACTTGCTCATCTCCTGGAAAAATGATGTTGTCAACACCTTGATTTAGCACATGCTTGAAGGCATATCATTTAAAATATGATCTTTCATCTCCTTTATTACCAATAAAATACCTTGCCCCTTCATGTTTACCTCTGTTCCTTAATGTCTAAAGGCCATCACATAGCCACAGGGATTTGGTGTCTGTCAAACTATCCTTATTTTTACTAATATCAATATTTCGGGCTGTCAGCATCTTTCATTTGCCTGCCCCCTGCTTATGAGCATACCTCAGTGTCTCATTTTTTGGAAACTTCCTTGTGATGCATTTTTTTCTCCTATTGTCTGGCAACCTGGAACCTTTTAATGAGTGACATTTATGTCCTGGATAAGTTCAGGGGAGGAACTTAAGAAACTGATAATGCTTACTAGTCAAATGAAAACTTGATTACACTGGATTTTCTATATATTTGCAGGATTTGCTGTGACCTTTTTTTTTTTAAATATCTTTAACACACTTTGTATCCACTTTCCCTAAATCGGGACTTCTTATCTTGTCATGATTAACACTTTGGACCAGATAATTCTTTGTTGTGGGACCTGTTCTGTGCCTTGTGAGATGTTTAGCATCATCCCTGACCTCTGCCCACTATGTGCTAGCAGTACCCGAACCCTAGTTGTGGCAAGCAAAAAATATCTCCAGACATTGTCAACTGTCCCTTGAGTGGCAAAACCGCTCTCTGTTGAGAACCATTGCTCCAGGTAAGTATTCATATGGAGGTAGAGTGTATATGTAGGCATATTGCATATATGTTTTTGTTATATGAATCTGAATTATATGTCACAATACTTGGTGAAGTTAAAGTATGCGAAAAGAACTATAAAGTTTGAAAGATTGTATTAGAGCAGTGCTTCTCTAACTTCAGTGTACCTAAGAACGACTGCCTACATCCTGAGGGATTAGTGGGTCTGGGTTGGGTCCAAAATGCTGCATTCTGTCAAACATCTCAGGGAGTTATGATGTAGATGGCCCATGTGAGAAACTGTGTTAGAGAAGCAGAATAAAAAGATATCCCAAATGATTCAGTTGTAAGGCCCAATGATTGCTGAGAATGGGTAAAAAAGATGAATGAAAAAAGAAAAATTCTTGGTAAGGATAGAATTAGTAAAGTGTCTGAGAGGAGACAATAATGAGCAATTCATGATGTTAATATTAGATATTCCACAATTCTGAATGTCAGAATTCAGTAGGAAATTCAACGGTTAATGTAAAAGGAGAGAAAGTCTCAATATTATCACAACTAATGAGTTGAGTTGCTAACCATAAGGTCAGTAGTTTGTATCTACTTTTCTGCAAGAGCAAGATGAGGCTTTCTGCTCCTGTAAAGATTTGTAGGTGTGGGGAACATCTGGATCGTGGGCTATA